TTTTTTTTATTATTATTCTTTTCAACCACAATTCAAAAGCAATGTCTTATTTCACTAAACTCTAATTTAGCAAATTTTTATTTATTACTACTTTTTTCAGTTTCTAGTTATTTGGGTGACTATTGTGAATTTTGCCTTTTCTTTAATGGAAGAGTATGAATACATCTGTGTGTTTGTCTTACAGCTGCAAAGGAGGCTGAACTACATCATAACCACTGTGTTGCGTGCATTCACCTTAATGTGAGAAAGTTGGTCACAAAAAATTTTAAAAAAAGAAACCAGTTAAATAAATATCTGTTTGCAGCAGTAGTAGAAAGCTAATCTTGTTGACTAGTAGGTAACATGTCAGTGACTGTACATTACTGTTGGAAAAACTGCAACCTTCAGAGCAGATCCACACCTTCAAAAGGCCTCCTACAGGTCGCAACTTCCCACAGGACGATTCCAAAGCTGAAAGACAACAAGTCAGACAGGAATGCTTTCTTTTTTTAAATTCCATAATCAATAATTGGATCGTACCATCTGTAGTAGGTTCTATTCACAGAACTAGTCACAACTATGAGCCACTGAATAGTCTGAGTGGCAGGATGCTGTTTGCGAGACATTCATTGTGAAATCATGTCCTGCTGGTTTTTTCAGCAGCAGCACTCGGTCGGTGCTCACCTGTACATCTCACACTCTTTGCTGTAGACGTGGTTGGTGTTGCCGAGCATCTGGGGAGAGGAGTAGTGCGGGGACCTGACGTCCTCGGCTTTGGTCTGCTTTTTTAGTGATGTCTCTGTTTTCGACAGCTCAAAACCTGCCAGCTGAGATCAACAACCACAGCGTTAATGTTGGTGTTGTGTGAGCTGGAAGTGATGCCACGCACGGACCTGATACCTTGATCTTGTAGCCTTCAGCCACCAGGAACTTGTAGCTGTTGATGTAGCCGTGAACGTTACTTTTTTCTTCTGTCTGGTGCAGTCTACGAGGCAAAGGCAGCACTCATTAGCACATTTTATTCTAAGCATGACATAGCAACCAAGTGACAGAGAAGGTTGGATTTGTAGCATCACCAACTCTGCAGCTCTGAGGAGCTCGTTAGCGTCTGTTAGCTCATAGTTACCAACAGCAAACAGACACAGTGAAGAAGAAAGGGGAACATCTAGCAGCTTAAGAATCTGATCAGATATTTTTCTGAGGAGCTGGTGGAAACCAAACTGATTGTTATTGCTGGCCTTAAACACAACAGCAGTTATACGATCGTGTTGCTCTATTTGCAGCTCATGACTCCTGAACCATATGAGGTTTTATATGGGATTCCTGAGATCAACANAGAAAGTCCAGATGTTTGTGTTCAAATGTAGGGATTAATACTCAAGTAAAGTACAGATACCTGCAACATCTACTTAAGTACAGGAACAAAGTATTTGTACTTTGTTACTTCCCCCCTCTGCCGTCTATGCAGCCCTCAGTGGCTTTAAGTTTAGGCTTCGCCACTGCACCTCTGTTGCCTACAATATAAATCTGAGTGTGTTTTCAGATACTTTTGGTGTCTGCAGTAATGCTCAGCACACTAAACCAGTAAAACCAGTGACTAAGCAGGCGGGTCCAAACCTTTGACTGGATCTGTATGTGTTTGCTGAAGTTGAGTTCACAGTCGTGTGTCTATCGTCTCCTCCATCTGAGCCACCACGCTGCGCAGTTTGTCCGCCAGCACTGCAGGAGAGAAACATCACCACTGATTTATTATCCAATAGAGGCTTTTCCCCCCAGTGCAGACAGCTCTCTGGACTTTAGTTGTTCTATTCTGTTTGTGGGAAAAGAAGAAGTCCACTGTATGTGAAGAAACCTGCGTACAGAAAGGTCATTAAAAATGGTCATTTACCTCCAGCAGATGGCCTCAGGAAGCTATCGTAGGCCCGGCAGGCGTCAATCAGCTGCCGCAGTGGCTTCGGACAGTCATTGGGAAGTGGTTCTAGATATCTCTCTTTGTACACTTTCTGATAAATTTCTTCATTGGAATAACCTGGAGGAAGTGTGAGAACTCTTTAAGAGCAGAAACAGAAGGTCCATAGTTAACGTAGCTGTGGTTTTAGTGATGGTGGTGCCGTGGCTCTATGGTTGGCAGTCTCAACAACTACTGGATGGATTCCCGTTAACAGTTGGTACACATGTTCCCTAAACCTCCTGCTGGTGATCTTCTGAAGCTTGAACACTTTGGTTTATGACCAAATACATGTAAAACAATGGCATCCCCATTAGCCTCTACTTTCTATTTGGTGCTCTTTCATAATTGTTAACAAGAGAGCAAAATTATTGTAGTGAAAATGTCCACCCCAGCATTCAGCTCATCCAAAGTGCAGCCTTTATCAGGGTCAGAACAGCCACTTTCAGGCTGTAGCAGTGATTGTTCACATCAGAGGTCAGCACGGTGGTTCAGTGGTGAGCACTGTAGCCCCACACCTCGGTTCAAATCTCTCTG